TTGATAGAGGGCCATTAATATTCTCCTCATCCTCTTGGGGGGCATCCGGTTCCATAGTAGACTCTGTAGAGTCTGATTGTTGGACGGTCTCTTCACCGCCTGTATCCTCGGATTCGTTCAAGATATCATCTCTGGGCGTGCTAGGTACGCCCAGCTAGTCATAATGTACAATGTCAGCCGGAGCTTCGGCTGAGCCGTATGACTGGTATTCGGGGTCTACAGCTGCCCGTCTCGTCCGAGCTATTCTATCCTGCACATGAACAGAGACGGTCGGATTCGCAGAAGAGTAAGGGTAGTCCAAACACCCCCAGAAGACATCCCCAGTCCTAGACTCAGCCGTATCCGGTGACCGGCTGACAACTGTCCTAGGCCGTGCCGTGTGTGTGTTGGGTGAGTCCATTATTCTTTACAAGCTATACAACCGGAAAAACTCAAAAAAGTTGCAAGGGGTAGAGACGGTACCTTGAAGATGCTTTGAGTGAGGGGAAAGTAGGCTATGCGGATCAGCAGCCGGAAATCTTTTTGTTGCTTGCTAGATACCCAGACGGTTTCCCGGATGTACCCTCTTCAAGAGTAACTGAAAATTGTTGAGCAACCCAACCGTTTCTCAGAAATCTTGCTTAATGATACCCCAGACAGTAGACCGGATGAGGGTATATTGAGAGCAAAGGGAAGGAATTGAGTATGATCAGGCGGTACCTATGAGTTTTGAGTAATGGGTACCCAGACTGTAGCCGTTTGAGTGAAGAAGAGACAGGCGGTTTTGAATAAAATAGTAGCCGGTATCAAAGCGCTCTCTCTCTCAGAAAATTCTCTCAACAAAAATTTGCAAAGTATGAAAATGAGAGGAGGGGGGTCTCTACTTATAGAGAACCCCAGAAGGCGAACCGTCACCTTCCCAATTCGAATTCAAAAAAAAAAAAAAAAAAACAGAGAGAGAGAAGGAGACGAAACGTTACCTTCTCAGAGCATGACACCTGTCACAGGTGCCACGTGGCAAGCCACGTCACACCTGTGAGGGAAAAATGTTTAGGGTAAAAATACCCTTGTCCACGTGGACAAATCATGTGCTAACACGTGTCAACATCAGAGGGGTTCTAAGAGAACCAATCCACTGGTGACACGTGGCACTCTAACCAATGAAAGGAGAATTGATCTCCTCTCACTATAAATAGATGAAAATCCTCATTTATCACACATTCATAAATATACACATAAAAACCGAGCAATATTAATTGCGGAATTCTCTCGGAATCCGAGAGAAAAAACCTTTACATTCCGCATTTTGATACATCTGGAAACGTTGTAACTTAATCGTCGGAGGCGGAACTCCACCCAACCGGAGTTTCCGTGGTTTTGCAGGTTGATAACTTGTTATTTGGTATGATTTTAGGGTACTTTTGAACCTTGTTTTCGTGATTATTCGACATCAAAGTTCATTATTTATCCTATTTTTATACAAATTTTGTACCATCCATGCTTCACGGGTTGTTAATGTTTTTTATGTAACGTAGCTATTTTTAGCACTATATATGGACGTGATCAAGCATGAGTGAACAAGGAGAAGGGAAAGCTTGGTTGATAGAGAAATTAAGGAAGAAGGATGAGTGCCTTAAAGAGAAATGAAAAGCTTTTGGAAAGTTTTGGAAGGATTTTTGCACTAAGGTCAACTTCAACTGACCATAACTTTTGTTCCACTCAACATTTTGAAGTGATTCAAATTGGAGATTAAATTTCATCTCAAGAGCTTTCCAATGACTAGTCACATGCCTTTTTCCGATGAGTAATGAAGAAGTTATGACCTTCCGAAATGAAGTTGTTTCGCCAGAAAAAGCTGCACGTCCGTGCCAATTCATGCACGTCCGTGCCAATTGATGCACGTCCGTGCAAGGTCAGGCAGTAGCTATTGTTCTCATTTTAACAGGTCTGCACGTCCGTGCAACCTTTGGCACGTCCGTGCCGACCTATAGACGGGCCGATTCTTGGTTTCTCCGTCCTTTTACTTGGGGGTTATATAATATCCCTTTAGCTTCATTTGTAAGGGGGGGATCTTCTTAGTTTATTTTTAGCTTAGGTTAGGTTTTTTAGAGAGAGAAACTCTCATTTTCTAGAGAGAGAAAGTGAGAAAATCTTGTTGAAAGCTTGGAATATGAAGAATTGAAGGAAGGAGACTTGAAGATTTGGATACTCCTTGCAATATCAATGAGAATTTCTTACTCTCTCTCCTATTTTGTTATTCTATTTACTTATTTTTGTATCTTTTCATCCTTAATTACTTTTTTATGTTAGATTAGTGTTTGTTTCATGTTCTTAGTTGTTAATTCCTTTAGTTTTGCAATTTATTATGGTTTGTGAGTAGTTCTTTTACTTGGGATTGTTGAAATCATTGATGAATTCACAAATACTTGTTTGTATGTGTTGATTTAGCTAATGTGGGATGTTAATTAGTTGAGCTTAAGTGGTTTCATTGTTAGTTCTTGTAAGTGGCCATTGCTAGAACTATTTATCTAAGCTTTCTCAACAAAGGATCGAGAGATGAACTTGAGTTAGATCCCTTATGCTTGATTGACCCGAAATGCCATGAGAATAGGAATTTCCGATCAAGGGAATGTTTATGTCATCGTGATTATGCTTTAACACTTGTTTTATGCTTTGTAACCACGAGAGTAGGTTGTATTCATGATTCAAGTAATCCCTCTAGCTTGAGAGAGTAGTTGGGTGCCTTAGATGACTTCCCCTAATTTATCCCCAAATTGCTATGTCTTGTATGTTAAATTGTAGTTTGTGAACGACTTAATTGGTGGATACCTTCCCGAGATCCTCTTTATTATTGTTTGTAGTTTTTCTTCATAACTCATAACCCAAAAAGACTTGACTTAGCTTATCACAAATCGATATTTGTTAGTGCTCCCCTTAGTCCTTGTGGGATCGACCCTTACTTACCCTTTCTACCCATTAGAGAGACCAAGTTAGGTTTTTATCTTTGGTAGGCTCGATGACAGCTTATCAAATTTTGGTACACACGGTCGACGCGCACTCTTGGAATTGTAACTCTCCCGAGGGACTCCAAAAACACCGAAATAGATGTGAATTTAGTTGTTTATCAATGCAAAGAATGATTTGACATATTCCGAGTCGACTACTAGGTTGAGTGCTTGTCTTTTAAACACACGAGTGCGTGAGTTGGGAGGGCATTGTTCACATATAAAGGGGTGGTTGGAGAGCGATCGAGTACATATTTTACTCGCCACATTAAATGAGAGAAGAGTGTGTGAGCACTGGCCTTGAATTCTATATGCTCTTGTGGTTTGCTCTATTTGACAATTGTTAGGGAAGATGGGCAGTTGGATGGATTTGGTTGATTGATTTTGATACATATTTGTCGGATTTGCCTTGAATCGTATATATTAGTTTAAAATGTATTTGGGGTGAAGTATTTATTTATTTATTCATTGCTTTGCTTAGGGACAAGCAAAGGTTTGGCTTGGGGGGGTTTGATATGTTCATTTTATATAAAGATTTACCCCCGTCCCTTGGTCATATTTAGGAGTATTATTGGCTCTTTGGAGCCACTTTTATTACTAATATGCGTTTTCTAGTGTTTCCGTAGTTGTGGTATTGTTTTATAGGAAATTGCAGATTTGAAGCATTTTCCCGTACTTATTTGAGCCACTACGAGCATTGGAGTGGGATCGCTTTATTATGACCATATTCCGTAGCCCAAGGCCGCGTTGGAGCAATCAAACCGGTGATTAAGGGCTCGGTGAAGAAGAAGAGTTCGTGGCATTGGACCGAGTCTTAAAGACCCAAAGAGGAAATGCAAATTGGGCCAAGAACATAGCCCAAGTGAAGAGGTCCAGCTTGCCTGAGAGCTCGCCCGACCGGGTAAGCCCTCGTCTGAGGCGCGCTCGGCCGGGCGAGGCATATAGAAGAAGGGCACTTCTTCGCCCGAAGGCGCGCCTGACCGGGCGCGTGTTTCTGAGATTGTTTAGCGATTTTTAATCTTTGTTTTAGCTTAGGTTTCCGAGCTTAAGTATAAATACGCTTTGTTAAGCGGGATTGAGGATCTCTTCTCAGTTAGTTAATTCTTAGTTTTTAGTTAATACTCTTGTTTTCTCTCTATACCTTGAGTTTTACGCAATTCGTTATTTCCGTTTACTTTGGTAACGATCTCTTCCCCTTTTATTTTCAGTAATTTAGTTGCTTTGATTTATTATGCTTTGTTTAATTGCTTTGATTAGTTTAGTGTCAATTATGCACAAGTAGTTTAATTCTAGGGTTGTGGGGATCCATAAATAATATGAAGGGGTAGTTTAATATCGTTGATTGTCAATGCTTGATTGATTTCCTATTGATTGATTTAATGCTATGCAATTAGATTAGGCCTTGTATAATTGTATGACTTATGCAATATTGATTCGAGATTCGACAGATGAGAATTGATGTTTAAGGCTTAGTTTCAATAGGCAGGTTAATTTATAAATGGTTAAGTCAAGATTCAAGAAATGCGATTTAATAAAGGTAGATTAATTTTATGATTATAATACATAGCGAAAGCTCTTTATAATCTGGTTAGTTTATGCATTGACGATTGATTATTGTGTTTTACCTTGAAATATTATTTATTGGTGAACCTATACCCTAGGCTTTTTATTATTGATTAATCCCTTAGTTTAATTATAGCCTTTAGTATAATTCTCATAAGTAAGGAATTATTTTTGAATAGGTGATACGACTTTAGCCTGTCAATGCTTGTATGCAACCCTTGTTTTTCTGGTTCACAACCATAATTACATCGAGTGACACCGTTTCACCCTGAATTTTTAGGTGCACAATCATAATTATTGATCTATTGATCTTGGTTCTTGATATATTCTAACCTAAAACATGCCCATTAGCAAGATGATGAGAAGAAATGAAACTATGACAGTCTGTAGTTGATATATAATGAAGTATTTAGTTATTTAATAATATTGGCCATTAGATAATGTACTATGATCTAACTGAAAAAATTATATAGATTTCCAGATGATTGGCATTGCAATTGGAATGTTCCTAACTAGGTGCTCAAAATGCACATAGCAAAACATGTGCGTGCAAATTTTCACAGGACAATACAAAGATCTACCAAAACACAGCCAAAGTTTGTCCTGTATGCATTACACTAAAAGAATTCAAAGTCCAAATATTTACCGCCGCCTGGCTTCATGTCGGTATTGGCCATTCTTTTACTGACACTACCAACACCAACACCAACACCAGCTCCTACACCTGCACCTGCACCTGCACCTACACCTGCGGTGTCAACCGGCCCAAACTTACCTGGCAACTCCATCTCCATTGGTCTTGGTATCTCTGGAGGTGTGCTGCAGCGTATCAGAGCCCAGTTAACCCCTTCGAAGAATGGGTGTTGCTTTATTTCGGTGGCACCCCTCTTTACTCCAAGTCTGTTTTGTGGTTCTTTCACAAGCAATCCTCTAATCAAATCTCGACTTGCATAGCTTGTTGCTGGAGAATCTGGAAATTTCAGTTGCTGCCCCACAACGTTAAAGAGAGTGGCACGATTTCCTGAGCCCTTGAAGGGGGTTTTTCCATAGAGTAGTTCGTGCAGAAAAACTCCAAATGTCCACCAGTCAACAGCACTTCCGTGGCCTTCTCCCTTTATAATTTCCGGGGCCAAGTATTCGTGGGTTCCAACAAAAGACATGGACCGGGCTTGGGTTGGCTCAGCAACAAGCTCAGGAAGAGTTCTGGATAGAAATCCAGGCTCATTCTTTAGTTGTTTGGTTTTTTTCTTGCTCTTCTTAGGAAAGATTCCAGGAAGGAAACACGCAGGTTGGATGCAAACTGCTGAAGGTTCAATACAAGCTGGCTGTACACAGAATGCATTTGGAGGGCCAGAATCAGAGGAACTTTTTACTAGGGTGGGGGAGACGGTGCAACGCAAGGAAAGGTCAAAATCAGAAAGCATGATATGCCCGTCATCACGAACCAAGACATTTTCTGGTTTCAAGTCTCTGTAGATAACTCCAAGCATGTGAAGATACTCAAGAGCCAACAAGACTTCAGCAGCATAAAACCTATACGATAGGGAGGAAAAGGAACAGAGTAAGAAACAAGGAACTCCAAGAAACAAATACAACCACCATTCTACTCGTGAAAACTTAATCATTTTCATGAGCAAGATAGAATTCGCAATTTTATTAAAAAGCAATAATATTCTGATCAAGTGATTCAAGTCCTTTCAACTAACTTCAGAACAATCAATAACAATGAATGGAAAGTAGAAAAGATGCCTCAATGTGAGAGAACAGAAGACCTATTCTAGCTCACAAGTAACATCCATAATGGTATCCAAAGAAGAAGGCATACTTCAAAGACTCTAATTAAAAGTTTTTTACATATCAGAACCCTCCATATGCATTGTTTCCATGGAATTCTGAGATTAGCTGATACAATCACTGGATCTCAAAACCATCCATCTCAACCACTGATATTGATCCTGTAAAAAGTCTAACCAGTAATCATACTGAAACTCCACTAAATAGCGAAAGCTTACAGCACTGGTACCTCTTGGTGAAAGTTTTGCAGAAAAAGAGAAGAGGAAATGGGAAAAATGCCTTTTAAATATATACAAATACAAGGAATTGTACCAGCAGCATAGTGTTGTCATATGTAGCAAAATAGATAGCACAATATCATTCTTGAAGCAGTAGAACCATATAATATTCACACGACAACTGCGTTTATGTTTTGAATCATACCTTGCTGCATACTCGGAAAAATGTTTGCCTGGCTGGCGTTGTCTTAAGGTGTGAAGGTCACCTCCTGGACAATACTCCATGACCAAACAGGAAAACCTGTCAGTCTCAAAATGTGTATACAAAGTCGGTAAAAATGGATGATCAAGCAGTTGCAGAATCTCTCTTTCTGTTTGAGCTCTACTCAACTTCTTCCTAGCAGCAAGAGATGCTTTGTCCATTACCTTCATAGCAAAATAGCAACGGGTGCCACTCAGCTCAGACAAATAAACACTTCCAATGTCACCACAACCAAGCCTCTTGAGTAGCCTAAAGTGGCTCATACCCAATATTCCATCCCGAGCTCTGATGGCCAGGATAGCCTTCCATCTAGGATCATTCCCTTTGTGTGGCTTATTAGCACTTCCAGTAAGGTTGCTCCAATTACTATCATCACTGAGGCCACTACTATCACTTGCTCGACTCATGCTAGTTTTGGCACTTTCAAGAGAGTCTCCGCCTCGAATACTGCATTTTGTACTCTCACAATTCCTTTCAAAGCTTAGCATTCCATCGCTCGTAATGCCATCACTCCTATAAGTGCTGGCACAACTATTAGCAATGCTCATAGATCTAACTACGCAACTATCAACACTACTTAGTGGACTTGGTGGCAATGAAGCATCCCAAACACATTCTTTTTCATCGGTATCTGGAGGGAGAGAGGCTTCTGTATTTTGTGAAGCACGAGGAACCAGAAATGGAGAAGATATTGTGTTCAAGTCATTTGGTTCTTCCGCCAAGCTGTCAGTAGGAGAGAGAGCAGCTGGGATTGGTTTTTTTGGAGGAGCTTGGATTGAAAGATCATCAATAAAAGGACCCTTCACAGACATGCTCTTCACCAAGGATACAGCATCTGACTTCTTCTGACTGATTGGCACATACACTGGTCTCATCAAATCAGTATCAACAGGTTCCGGAGGATGACTAGCACCTGAAAAGGAGCTTGAGCCAACACCATCATCAACAGAATCAACACTATGATTCGATGTGATAACATCTAACATCAGATCGTCCTGTTCTTGCAGGGATATTTTTCCCTTCCATGGTCTCGTAGGCACAGGAAAATACAAGTCCTGAGCATCTCGTCCCTTGGATCGACTCAACTGTTCTCTAGCAGAAATAACTTTATTCCCTACTATCACACTAGCAGAAGACAAGTGAACTGGAAGCGACTTCAATTCCGGGATCCTCTCCATATTGGATGAACAAATACCATCACAAACAGCTACAACCGCAAAACCAGCTCTGCATACAGCAACAAAATTACTGTGAAAACCTCAAAACAAAATATCATCATAAAAAAACAGATTTAGACATAATCATCTATACTTAGAAAGTTGGAAACTAGCAAATTTACTTGTGATGCTAAAAGCCAGAAAAAAAATCCAAACACAAATATGGGAAGAAAATTTTACGATACTACAAGCTTAGCTTCTTACTTAGATTTGTGATGTATAATCATGCACACAATACAAAACCCACCATATCCAACTCTAATAAGAGCATTAAAACTTCGAATTTCGACATGAAAAGAAGAACACAGATTAAAGCAACATAGTAGGAGGCCATCAAATGCTTAACTTGGGTCACAATCATGACATAATAATATACTATGAATATCACCTACAGAAAGAACAATCTATGCAAAAAAAAGCAAAACCCATGATTCCCTAAAGAAGAAAAAGTGACAGATTCTCTGATTATACTTCGATTAGGTCACAAATAAAATTACACACAAAACAAAAGGAATAAAAATACCAAAATACTGACACAAATTTGAAAAACCAGAAAACCCCATGAAACAAATACGCAAAATTAGCAGAAACTAATCAATATTATCAAGCTTAATTAGAAATTAATGAAGTGGGCATACATTACCAACTAAACAAAAATAAAATAAAAACCTGAAAAACCCATCAAACAAATACACATAATTAGCACAATCTAAACACAATTATCAAGTTTAATTACTGATTAATGAAATGGAAATACAGTTAAAAACCCAAAATGCTGACACAAAACTAAAACCAGAACCAAAAATCTAGAAAACTTTATCAAACAAAAACTCAAAATTAGCAAAAACTAAACAAAATTATGAAGCTTAGTCAATGATTAGTGAAGTGGCCATACATCAAAACCCTTCAAATTGCTGCTACCTTCACAAAATGTGGATCTACAGAAACCCACTTGAATTCCTAAACAAATTTAGAGAAAATAAATTGAGAGAAAACCAACTTTGAAGAGTTGGAGAGAAAATTCAAGTCTTAAAAGAAAAGGAAAGAGAAAAATTGGGAAAAATAAAAATGTGAATGTAAATAAACAAAGAAAAAGGAAAAGCTGAAGTTGTTGTTGTGTTGGGTACTGCTGCTATAAACTCACACTCAAACAGTACATACAAAACAAGCTCCTTTAACTTTATCAATTTTTATTTTTATTTTGAATATTTATAATAATAATAATTATAAAATGTTTACCTTTGAATTGTTTTGTTGATAAGTATATTAGGTGACTCGTACTTCGTAGCTTTGTCCGCCCGATCGGGCGGACATTGCCCGGTCTGACCGGGCGGAAGAAGAAGAGGTGCCTGGCAAATTCGTTGAAGAAGCTGCTCTCGCGCCCGACCGGGCGAGCCTTCGCCCGATCGGGCAGACCTTGCCCGGTCTGACCGGGCGGTGGGGGTTGGATACGTTGAAGCATTCGTATGGAGTTTTCTTCTCGCGTCCGATCGGGCAGACCTTGCCCGGTCTGACCGGGCGGAGAAGGAAAAATACGGAACGCGGATTTTGCGGTTTTAGGTTATCTTATTTTATTATCTTTTTGCCCAAGTATCTTTTAATTAGGGATTAATATAAAACCTCCCTAATATCAGTATTAGGGTTAAGAGAGAGAGAGTGAGAGCCGTTCTTGAGAAATACAAGAATCATCTTTGTAATCTTTGCAGTTTATAGTGAAATCATTCGATCTCGGTGCCCGTGGACGTAGCTATCACATCGATAGTGAACCACGTAAATTCTTGGTGTTGTTCTTATTGTTTGCATTGAATTTCTTTATTGTTTTCTTGTTTGTTTTCGACCTTTGCTTCCGCTGTCGCACAACAATTGGTATCAAGAGCTCAGGTTCAATCCTTGGAGAGTTTCTTGAAGATAACAATGGCAGGAGATTCAACAATAAGAATTGAGAAGTTTACCGGGAAAAATAGTTTCGGGCTATGGCAAATTAAGATGAAGGCTCTGTTAAAACAACAGCAGATATGGCGTCCGTTGGCTCCAAAGAGTACTACTTCGGAGTCAGGAGACGGACCGACTGACTCGCAGTTAGAAGTTATGGAAGAGAAGGCACACTCTACCATATTACTTAGTCTTGATGATCAAATCATCACGGAGGTTGCTGATCAGGAAACGGCGGCTGGATTGTGGCTGAAGCTGGAGTCATTGTATATGACTAAGTCGTTGACCAACAAATTATTACTGAAACAGCGGTTGTTTAGCCTCCGGATGCAGTCAGGTACTTCCTTACGGGAACATCTAGAAAAACTTAACTCTATTTTGCTTGATTTACGTAATTTAGATGTTAAAATTGATGATGAGGATGCTGCGTTGATTTTACTTGTATCTCTACCGTCTAGCTTTGAGAATTTTGTAGAGTCTTTTGTTGTTGGTAAGGATTCTATAACCTTAGAAGAAGTGAAGGCAGCACTTCATACTAGGGAACTCAGAATGAAAGCTACGAGTGATAATGGGGATAATGGTAGTGGGTTATTTGTTAAGTCCGGAAAGTCTAAAAAGAATAAGGGGTTTAACAAGGGGAACAATGCTGGGTCGGGTGCTGGAAACGGCAAGGATGGATCTAGTAAAACTACTACTAAAACATGTTATTACTGTAAAGAACCGGGTCACTTTAGGAATAATTGTCCGGTGAGGAAAAACAAGTCCCAGGCTGCTGTAGTTGAAGAGAAACCGAATGAGAGCTATAATTCAGAGGAAGATTTAGCATTAGTCAGTTCTGCTAGGTCTGATGATTTATCTGATAACTGGGTTCTAGATTCGGGGTGTTCGTTCCATATGTGTCCACGTCGAGATTGGTTTGATACATATGAACCTCGCAATGGGGGTATGGTTATAGTCGGTAACAATGCTCCATGTAAGGTCACAGGTATTGGTTCCATGAGGTTGAGGACTGTTGATGGGCGGAGGTTAACTTTGACTAATGTACGGCATGTTCCTGCTTTAGGAAAGAATCTGATTTCATTGGGTACCCTGGATGAATTGGGGTACAATGGTGTGTTTTCAGATGGGGAGTTGTGTATTTTCAGAGGTTCTGAGTTGGTACTTAAGGGTATCAAAAGGAACACCCTCTATGTTTTTGAGGGTGTTACACTGCCTAGTTCTGCGGTTTGCGCATCTGTATCTCACCAGGAGATGACTAAGATTTGGCACATGAGGCTTGGTCATATGGGGGAGAAGGGGATGCAGCTATTGTCCAAGAGGGGTCTTCTATCCGGGGTCAAGGTTGCCAACCTTGAATTTTGTGAGCATTGTGTGTTTGGTAAGAAACACAGGTCAAAGTTCAGCAAGGGTGCTCACATTACTGATGCAGTGCTCGATTACATCCATTCAGATTGCTGGGGTCCATCTAGAGTTGAAGGTATGGGAGGTTACCACTATTTTGTGTCATTTGTTGATGACAAGTCCCGATACACATGGCTTAGGTTGCTTAAGTCAAAGGATGAGGCCTTCAAAGTTTTCAAGCAATGGAAAGCTTTGGTGGAAAATCGACAAGGAAGGAAGATCAAGAAGCTACGAACGGACAATGGGCTAGAGTTTTGCAAAGACGAGTTTAATCAGTTCTGTGCAGATGAGGGTATAGGTCGGCATCATACTGTCAGGAAGACACCACAGCAGAACGGTGTAGCAGAACGGGTTAATCAGACACTGCTAGAGAGAGTTCGATGCATGCTCTCTAATGCAGGGCTTGGGAGGAGGTACTGGAGTGAAGCTGTGTTAACAGCTTGTTATGTCATTAATAGGGGTCCTCATTCTGGAATTGATTCCAAGATTCCGTTTGAGATCTGGAGTGGTAAGTTGCCTAATTTTTCGAATTTGAAGATTTTTGGTTGTGTTGCTTATTATCATGTTATTGAGGGTAAGCTGGATCCACGAGCCAAGAAGGGGTGTTTTGTTGGGTACGGGGATGGTGTGAAGGGGTTTAGAATTTTTTCACCTTCGGAGGGTCGGGTCATTCTTAGTAGGGATGTTACTTTCGATGAAAACACCATGTATTCAATTAAAAATGCAGAGATTTCAGATTTGAGAAGGGAAGGAGACAATTTATTACAGACAGATGGGGTACTTGAGGTACATCAGTCTACCATTGCTGATTTACCTCGGGTACAATATATTGATGATGATGCTGATGTTCCAGTGCCGGGTACTCCTGAACCTGAGATTACTCCTACTCATTCTAACTCTGGGGATGAGGTGGAGCAATCTAATCAGGGGTCATCTAGTCAACCTGACACCATTCTTGAGATGCCTAAACGAGTTATCAAGAAGCCTGTTAGATTGATTGAAGAGATGGAGGGAAGAAATTGCTGTGTTGATGCGATGACAGGTTATGCATTGAGTGTAGCTGATGATGTAGAGTCATTTGAACCTGCCACATATAAACAAGCAATTAGTTGTAGTGAGTCTGCGCAATGGCTTGCCGCAATGGGTGAAGAGATGCAGTCTCTTTACAAGAACAGAGTGTGGGAACTGGTAAAGGTACCGGAAGGGAGGAAGCTTGTGGGTTGTAAATGGATTTACAAGAAGAAAGAAGGGTTGTCGGAAACTGAGCAAATACGTTTTAAGGCTAGGCTAGTTGCTAAGGGGTTCAGTCAGGTAGAAGGGGTTGATTTTGTTGAGATATTCTCACCTGTGGTTCGACATACTTCTATCCGTGTGTTATTGTCAATTGTAGCACATTTTGATCTTGAGCTGGAGCAGTTGGATGTTAAAACGGCTTTCCTTCATGGCGATTTGGAGGAGGAGATTCTGATGAAGCAGCCCGAAGGATTCGAAGCTCCTGGAAAGGAACACTATGCCTGCAGATTGCTAAAGTCATTGTATGGACTTAAGCAATCCCCCCGACAGTGGTACAAAAGGTTTGATTCTTTTATGGTTTCACAAGGTTTTGACAGGAATTCATATGATTGCTGTGTGTATCATAGTAAGCTGGATAATGGTTCCATGATTTATCTTTTGTTATATGTTGATGACATGTTGGTTGCCACAAAGAATAAATCTGATATTGCTAGATTAAAGGAGATGCTTAACTCGGAGTTTGACATGAAAGACTTGGGTGCAGCTAGGAAGATTTTGGGTATGGAGATCTACAGGGATCGGGCTAGAGGTAAGCTTTTCTTGACTCAGAAAAGCTACATTGAAAAGATTTTGTCTCGTTTTGGGATGGAAAAATCGAAGCCTATAAGTACGCCAACTACTGTTAGTTGTAAGTTGTCTTTGTCTATGTCACCTCAATCAGAGGAGGAGTTGTCTTATATGTCTAGAGTTCCATATGCAAATGCGGTTGGTTGTTTGATGTATGCTATGGTCTGTACTAGGTCGGATATTGCGCATGCCGTTAGTGTTGTAAGCAGGTTTATGGCTCGACCTGGGAGGGAACACTGGCAAGGGGTGAAAAGGATTTTTCGCTACCTGAGAGGGACAGCTGATATTGGTCTTGTGTACGGGAATGATAAGGAATGCTTGGTCACTGGGTACAGTGATTCTGATTATGCAGCTGATGTGGATACCAGGAGGTCTGTGACTGGTTATGTGTTCACTTTGGGTGGTTCTGTGGTTAGTTGGAAGTCTACATTGCAGTCATCAGTTACGTTGTCAACTACTGAAGCTGAGTATATGGCTTTAACTTCTGCAGCTAAGGAGTCTATTTGGCTCAAAGGCCTAGTAGGTGAACTGGGTATTGCACAGGATTTTGCTACAGTGTATTGTGATAGTCTAAGTGCGATTTGCTTAGCTAAAGATCAAGTACACCATGATCGGACGAAGCACATTGATGTCAGGTATCATTTCTTACGTACTGACAAGAGGATTAAGGTGAAGAAGATTGGGACTGCTGACAACCCGGCTGATTTCTTCACTAAGCCTGTTCCGTTTAGCAAGTTTAAACATTGCTTAGACTTGCTAAATATTGATTACTACGTGATGTAGTAGGCCCTGAGGGGCGAAGTTGGGGAGCTCCTGGTGTAGGTGTGTTGGCATTAAGGTGGAGCTTGCCCGGGGCTTGTGATGCAGGTGGAGCATTATGAGTTGTTATACTTGGAGACGAGTATGTGATGGGTCTTGGTTGAAGACTTATCGGGATGTATGGCTTATGCATGAGTCTTGCAT